CCTGCTCTTCACTGTCTCTCTTCACTGACCTGGTCGTTTTTGATCATATTTTCTTGCGAACATGACTTGTTCTATAAAGCAACAACCCCAGATGAAGATGTTCTGTCTGTGAGAGTAGCTCACGAGTACCACACGTGTGCCATTGTCGCCGCTCGAAAGTGCCTTACAATGGTGGGACCTTGCAAAGTTTGATGGCGACTAATGTGAGCTTACGGATGTGATACCTCGCGCTCATCTTCACCCAATATGGATTACATTACGACGTAGCGGATAAGATAGCCGATAGGTACATAGATATGGTAGCATCGTCGCGTTTATATGGTTGCAATTGAAAACTTCTAGACAAGTCCTCTCCACGCCATCATTGTTAATCGCTGTTACCTCACCGATTCGATCTGAGTTGTTCTTCAAGGCTTCGTTGCATTGCGTGTGAGAACGCAGCGAAAGTAAGGCTGATGTCAGAGTACGTATCTCGCGCGAATCGCGCGACGGATCGCGGACTCTGACACCAGCCTGATACGCTTCACAATTCGTATTGGACACTTTTTCGCCCACTTCGTAGTAATTTCTATGCATTAGCAGAAAGAAACAGTCAATTAGCACCCAAGAGACGTAGTCGAGCTAGACTAAGAAAATTAGAAGCTCGTGAAAACAAAACGAAAGTCGATGAATCGAAAAGAATGGATGAGACGTCCGCCAGACCCGGCGACTTTGTCGAGCGATGGCGATAGCGATCACACTCTGACGGATGTCTGAGCGACGAAGAATACCGCAACGCGTATACTACTTGCGCCGCAGTGTTCGCGGTCTTGCGATTCAGGACCGCCTACCGCGGGGTCGCAAGTCCGACACGTATAGTGAACTCCAAGCGAATATCGAGGCAGTCGTAAAGTGTAACCGCAGCTTAAGACCCGCTTCAGATAGGCAAGATAGCCATATTAATTGACGCTGTTCTCCTGTTTTCCCAAAACGCTGAGCGTGAACGCGCCTAATGTTCGCATTGGTCAAACATTCATTCTGGTTACCCATCAGTGACTTTTTTCACTCCTAATCGAGTTAAGAGAAGCTCAGTGCAGAGCCGTTTTCTGTTGCCTTCTTGCACTAGGCCGATATTTACCGACTTGTTTTTTGTGTAATAGTTGAAGATGGACAAGAACGAGGAACAGCTACGTCATTGTTCACTCCATGCTCAGTAATGAAACAAGAAGGAAGAATGTCGATTGAAAAATTAATGTGTTTTGTTTAGAAGATTATTTGGTCCTTTCGTGTTTATAGCTGTTCGTAGTCCTATTACTTGATATGAATGAATTGCTATTCATTAGTCTTAACGCATTTATCGAATATTTATCGTCTCAGAAAAAAAGGAACGTAAGAGAAAATGCAAATAATTGCTGCCTTTTGCAGAAATCCCATTTTTTGCGAGTAGGAAATCTCCAGGGTGATCCATTTCGCTTCCGCTTTACACCCACCTCGGAGCTTCCCCTTGCTGCGAAAAACTAGATTATATTATACGGAACGAACTGTTGCATCGCAATACCCCCTCCCCTTACTGCATGAGACCCAAAACTTATATCTTCGGCTTTGATGGTGTTTTGCCGTTACGGGCCGGTGTTACAGATTGGGAGACTTCTTCATTTTGTGCGACTTTTCCAACAACAACTCGTCATGACAAGAACCGTGCACTTCACAGCGACTATAAGTTCGATTAGTTCCTTTGGACTACATCAGATTTCCTGCATCTCCGTGAAAATCTCAACCCATCTGTCCATCTGTCCAAGGCCACTACGCTGACTGGCGGACTGCGTGGAGCTGCCAGATGCTATTGAAAGGCGTCGGCTATTCTAACACGTCGGATCGGAATAAAGAGTTCCATCCGCTTACAAGCTAATATGCTAAGCTGTGATCAGGAGTCGCAATCCGTTCCAGGGTTTCGCGCGCAAGTCGGCAAAATCGCAAAGTGCCTTTGAGCAGTCGCTGCATCAGCCAATTACCATCAAACAGACAATAGCGACAGAAAAACAGAAATAGGATAGACACTTGCCAGTAATTGATCGAGCGTCATGATATGTTCTTCTTGATCGGGGGTCGCGCGAGGTCGGCAAATTTGCAAAGGAATTCGCGGCTCGACACAGCCATACGGGTGCGACAAATAACAATGTTCAACATGCCCAGATTCGAAGAACGAAATGGAATCTGTTAACAACTTTCACATATTAAGGTGAAATGCTGACAGATTTTGATTATTAATAGCAAAAGAAGGTCTAAGAAGGAAAAAATATAGAAGGCACAGAAAAAAACAAGCAGTAGGGACGGCGCTGCAAATGCCAAATACCAGCATGATGTAAATTTGTTTTGCACTTTCCGAGTTTTCACATATTACATTGTGCATGGCGACGACTGTTGCAGGTGGACGTAAAATGTGGAAGCATTTCCCCCTTGTGTTGACTAATTTGTGCATGTGGCCATATTTTCATCTGTTTCTATTTATTGGCAAACTGACAACAATCAGCAGTGCATCTCGATCGTCGTATTTTCGTGTTGAATTTGTCAACGCGTTTTTGCTTTTAATCTGTAAATTCATCCGCTTAGTTTCAGAGAGCGGCTTTGCCGAGCGAGCTAGACATGCTTCTGTTCTGAGCAGGAAACAGAAGACTGATAATGAGGTAATAGTTTCATTTGGCTTGTCCTTAATCCTTGCAAATCCTGCAGTAATGCGTCATCGAGTGAGGTGCTTCTTTGTTTCTTTCTTCTTCACTACATTTGCTTAGTCATAGGAGAGCATTTTGAGTTGTGTTTTTGTTTGTTTTGAGTTCATAGACCGTGACCGTTTCGAGTTCATAGACCGTATTTTGAGTTGATTGATGTGCAAGATTTGAGTCGTGCATTCTATTCAATTTTATGAAGAGCTCTTCCGAAATGCATGGGGGGGGGGTAATCACTATCATCTCATTTTTCTAATATTTATGCCGTCCACTTTAGCAAGAGCTAATAAAAAAGGGCTAATGCATCAGTAATTCCGATTCGTTGACTAGATCGAAATAGAGGAACTTTGTTCAGGATTTGCTGCTCGGATTTGGCATACATGAGTGATTACCGCAGGCCTTGCAACTTCTTTTACAATGTAACTGGTGAAGAAGCGGAGCGGCTGCTACGACAGTATGGTTCAGATGGGGAATTTTTAGCACGACCGAGTGAATCTCAGCCGCTCAACTTCACTCTCTCAATCATGTAAGTGAAAATTTTCACGTGAATTTCAAATCCATTGGGGAATCACATGAGAGGTCTCATTCGGCACATTGGCCACACATTTTCCCTTTAGTGCGATTGCTATCAGTCAGTGTTTCAAGTCAGAAGAAAGGAGCGCTAAAGCATTGAGTGGGAAAAGTTGGACCTATTACGTGGTTTTCCTTTGTTGTGTACGGAACGATCATAAAATGGCAAAATGCGGGAGTAGATAGAAACAATCGAGTGTAATTTTCTTTCAAGCAATTATTTCTAGCTTTTTTTTCAGTCGTGGAAAAGCTATTACTCATGTGAAAATTCAGAAGAACAGCGATGATTTTCTGGATTTATTTGGAGGTGGGCTCTTAAATTTTTTATTGTCTGTATTATTCGACGTTCCATTTCGGAAGAGTGTGGTGCTCTATTGCTTAGTATCCATAATTACTCAATTTTTTAGGTGAATCGTTTGCGTCGCTAAGTGAGTTGGTCCAGTTCTATATTGACAATCCAGAACAGCTTCAAGAAAGAAATGGAGAGTCCATCATTATGAAGTATGTTGACGATTTAACATTTGTCCCATTATCTTCTGAGGATTTTTCATTTACCATTTTTCCATTTTACCGTAAGGGAAGGCTATTTTTCGAACGAAATAAGTTATGAGCCAGTGCAGACAGAGTGCTGTTTAGCCATCTGGCGTGAAGCACGTGCTCGCAGGAACCGCCAAGATCTTGGTTCAGCAATGATTCCCCACTATCGGCATGCATGTGTGCC